ACCGAGGACCAGTTAACCATAAGACTGGTTAAAAAGACCGGTCCTTATTCGGTCTTTTCAGGACTGATCCATCCCTAGTTGGGGCCAAATAAGGTCATGCATTTAGAGAGGTCTTTCATAGACCATGCATTTAGGGAGGTCTGACTGTATATAAAATATATCTATAGATTTGCTATGTATCGGAAAATTACGTAGTAATCTATATACACCCAGACCTTTTTAAGTACATGCCTCTGGAACTATACTTTAATAATGTGCAATAAAAAAAGTACATTTATAAAGATCATGTACAGTCAGTAAAACCTTCATAAGTGCACGCCCTCTCTAAATGCATACTTAACTTCGGGTCCAAATATATACATGACCTCGATAAATGCGCTTTTTCTTATTGTTCTTTAAATGCACGTTGTTATAATTTTGTCCCAAGAGCGTGCACTTATAGAAGTTTTCCTGTACTTGGTTTCAAATATTCTGCATTTATAAAGAATTGTACTTACAGTCAGACCTTCCTAAATGCACATTCCCTAAATGCATGGTCTATGGCCCCAACTCATATAACACTTATGGATTTTTACTTCTCTAAATGCAATACCTCTCTAAATGCATGATTTTTTGGCCGCTCTTCGGCTATGCATTTAGAGAAGTCTGACTGTATATAGAGGCTAAATTAGGGATGTTAACAGAGAGCCAACAGTTGAATCTTTAGAATATATATGAGAACTAATTCAGAACCGGTCTAAATAACTAAATGGTTTTGTGGACCAGTTTTAAGACTAGTTTAAGATCACAGTCTGGACTATTTTAAGACTAAGACTAGACCGAATAAGATCAGTTTTTTGTAGATTCTATGATGAGCTGCAGTCAATTGGCCCAAGACCGGACTAGATAACATCTCTAGGCTAAATTTTATATGTCTTATATAAGTTGGGGTACACTTTAAAGAGGTCTGACTGTATTAGGGGGTGTCCCACCGATACTATAGAAAATAACTTTTTTTGCTTTGTTAGCTTTTGAATTTATTTTTTCTTATGCCTTTTTTTTAAAAAAATGATTTATATAACCATTGTTTTTTATTAAAAACAATTTTTTTTACAAATTTTTTGTACCTAAGTGATTATCAGAAAGAATTGTTTGTTTTTCTTTTGAGTATTTAATCTATTATAAGAAATATTTATAAACTAAAAATATATAAATTTAAAAAAATTTTAATCAAAATATTAATTCTTGATAAAATTTTTTAAACATTAATTTTAAATCTATAATTTTTAATATATATTTTTTTAGAGAATATCAGAAACCTGCTCTAAAAATTTAAAAAAAATTAATACGCTAATAATGATTGTAGTTAATTTGGTGTTGGCTAATAAAATTGTTTTTGTAAAAATTGATAGTCTATTTAATTAAGGTATATAGGAAAATTATGAGATTTCGAAAAAAAAATCAATCTAAATGACAAATGTTAATGTCGAGAAAATTTAAAATACTTTACACACTATAGACCAGTGTTGTCGCTGGAAGACCACTGGAAGACCACTGGAAGGTCACTGGAAGTAAAATCAATAGTGTCACTGGAATTTTAGGTTCCAGCGACACTAATTATTTTACTTCCAGTGACCTTCCACTAACAACACTGCTATAGACAATCAATGGTATAGTAACTAAGCCGAATTTTAAATACATTTAAACATTATAGTCAAACTTCTCTAATAGTCACACTCTATATATTCATATTTACTTATAATCACACTAATTTAAAACCAACTTATATAAACATATAAAATTTAGCCTCTATATTATATAAGCACCGAATTTCTTGAAACCAAGTGTGATTATAGAGAAAGGTTTAACTGTGCACATAAAAATTAAATGGGCTAGGTGCTGGGAAAAGGGTCCAAATTGACAATTTTTTAAAAAGAATTTTTTTACATAAATCAATTTAGAATAAGATTTGGTCCCATCCGTTGGCGTAGACATAGATCACATCTTTGGAAAACGTTTTAGTGAGCAGCTTGTTGATCATTGAAGTAGTTAAGTAAGGTCTGTTGAAGAATAGTGGGTCGTAGCACTCGTCTTCATCCATCAAATGAAAGTAGCAACGTCCACTTTGAAAGGGGTCATGATCATTGTGTTGGCCGTGGGGGGAGCAGCCAATCTTAATGGCCTCTTCATAGCTTTCAAAGAAGTTTACATTCGTTGGTAAATCGTATTTGTGCGCATTTTTCCGAAAGTACTCAATCAGAGCTGATTGGGTCAGAATTTCGTCATCGCTCAGGTGTTCAAATTGCAGTTCACCCATTTTGAAAGCGTAATGAGCTTCGATGGCATAAGACACGAAGACATTTTCTTCGTTATGTCTTTCTTTAGCGATTTCGATGCGGGCAAGAATGATGGTTGGATGTTTAATAATTCCATCACTTGTTATGAACCATCCGCAGAAAGTGGGTCGCTTGCCGTATTCAGGTTTTCCTTGTAAAGTGAATGAGTTTTGGATGTCAACAAATGCAGGTCGCATTTTGGGAACGCAATTGATGGCAGAATCATCACCTGAAAAAAGCTGGGCGGTTCCCAGTGGAATTTTCCATTCGAGGTGGGTAAAGGCTATGTTTCCGAAAGAATTGTAGTCATAGGTTTCAGTGCCACCAGTTATTCGCATCACTTCTAGGTTCCCGTGTTGAGTCTCAGTGTTCATTTTCAACCACATGTAGTAGCGTCGAAGAACGTCTGGGATATTGAAATGGGCGTGCAAGAGATCTTCAAAGTTCAGGAATTCGTGGTTTTGAGATTGATCAAATTTCGTGTAATCATTAGCAAAACTCTCTCTCATCTTCCAATTTTCAATGACGAAGTCGTTCAGTTCATCGAAGCTTTTTTCCCCTAAAATAAATATGTTGTGCTTGTTCTTGTTCTTTTCAATACTTGCTTTCACCTTAGCGACAACATACCGGACCATCGGTCCAAGCAAAAGAATGGCAGATTCATGAAGTTGATGCTAAGGTTTGTCCTGGCTTGGCTGTGGCGTACATTTTTTTCTGGTTTCTTGAGGATTTGGCTTTTGAGGAATATATCAGCAAAGTTGTCTTTCCACCAGGTCTCTCCTCGTTCCGTGATGTTCATTAGAGTGGCTAACGGTTTGGTGAGTCTTTTTCGGGCGTTTTCATCTATTTTGCTGATGAAGAGATGAATGTCAAATTGTTCATCTGCAACAAACCAGTTGCTTCGCAAAAGGCTTCGTAGAGCATGCTGCCAAGGATTTTTGTTTTCGAGTCCTTGATTTTTTTGTCGTTTCGGGTTGGGCTCATGAAATTAAGCCTTTCACGAACGGACCACCAATAAGTGGCAGAGTCGGAATTTGAGTGGTGCGGGAATAAAGAGATGAACGGTTTTGAGTCATCAAACTGCTCAGTCCAACCGATTTTTTTGATGTATTTCTCTTTATCGATTGCTAGTTTGTTGCGTTCAGTAAGTTCGAGTTTGAGCATTTCAATGTTGGCTGGAGGTAAGTGAGTTGGAGCTTTTCGGTTTTGCACTTTGACTGAGTCAGGAATTTGGGTGGTAATTGCGCCAGTTGGTTTTTCGGAAAGTAATATGGTGGGCGCAAGGTCGGCCATCAGATTTTTATTTATGGGAGTATGATTTTTCTTGATTTCGTGGATCTCGTCGGGTGTTAGCTTCGGCTTTCCAGGTAATTGGTTAACGAGTTCATTGTAACGTTCCTGGTCGATAATTTCATTTTCAAGGGCGTTATCGAGAATCATTTTTTTGAGTACCAACCTTCTTGGGATTTGGTTGGTGTCGGCATCAGAGCCCCCGAACATTGGGAAACTGATGGTGTCACCTTCGATAAAACAGTCTTGCCAATTTTTTGGATGAATAATTTTTTTACTTATGACAATAAAATTTTGCAGTATAATTGATATTTTCTTATAAGATTTATTACATAAAAATTGATTTTCCGAAGATCTTTTTTTTTTGTCAATTTGGGCCCTATAATACACATAGACCATGGCCCACCACTTGCAGTTCAAGTTTTACCCATTCTAGGAGTGTCCTTTCTCAGCACCTAGCCCAAATAAAATTACACATGACTGTGTGGACGTCCCCATTTTTGGAAATTTTTGACCTTATAAAGGCATAAATTATTCTACACAACCATAAAAAACAATGAGGTGATTCAATTGGCTGAGGCTAAATTTGTCTGACAGTTCATCAATTCCTAAACAACAGATTCATTTGCCATAAAAACAATGTTAAAGAATAAAAGAAGCAATTTTGTACGCATATAATTTGTTTGGATTGCTTGTCGTACGAACACTCAATCGGCAAAAAAATTTAGGACAGATTTAAAAGATCTCCGAAATTGAATTTAAAGACGATAAAATTCTTTTTTATAATGATAGTTTGTTCAATGCCTATAATAAATTTAATGAAAATTGTCGTTCTAGTTACGATATTATGTGCACTGCAATGTTATTCGATAGAATATCCACAATATCCTGCCAATGAAATACCAAATATAACACCTCCCCTAACGAATTTTTTACTACCAGTTGACACCCAGTTAAATAGAAATAATTTTAATACTTCAATAATAAACGAATCAAGTGTTGGGCTTCATGTATTCAATGCAGCAAGTTATCCAAATGGACCGATAATCCTACGATTAATTCGTCGTGGTGCAAACAATTGTTCTGAACCTAACTTGCATCTAAGACTAATATTTTTGAATATTATGGTTATCAACATTAACCCTAATATAACCACGATTCCTTCTTTTAATTTTTGTCCAATTTCAACTAATCCCCCACGTGATCTGATTCGTATTTTTCCTTTGTCATATAACCATACCATGATCGCGTATTTACAAAATAATACTGGGAGTCCAGAAACACATGAGGAAATTGGATTGTTTATAGATTGGAATGGCAAAGTTATTCAGTAAGAAGTCACCATTTTTTTGTACGCATTTAGATTCGGTATTAATTTTAATCTATTTCTATATGTGATCTTGATAAATTCGTGTCATGTAATTATTGTACACGATCCGAAGAAACATAAGTCTTGGATTTATTAATTATACTGCAAGTGATACATCATCATTGGGTACATTAGTGGTCGATTCTTCCCAGAGATATGGATTTATATGGGTTAACCGTGTGATCCAAAAACAATTTATAAGATGGACAAAATATTTGATTTCGTAAGTGTTAATAACGTGACTAAATCTATTTGAATATTATGTAACAAAAAACAAATATATTACAGAAACTCTCGTATCGTAAAAATTTCACATAATTCGGACCAATTTGATATATTTCCATCTCATCAATATCAAATAATTGCAACGATTGATGGAGGATATTGCTTTGTAATGGCAGGTCCCTCAGTTAATATTACACCTGGCTTTATCGATGCTCAATGGGAGGCTCGTGTAGTATTTATTCGTCCAACAACATATTATACTACACAGCCTTCGATAATATATCAATACACGTCACAAGCAATTTCGATGAATATTGAAACATGTGACAATACATATTATGAGCCTGGATTAGCTTGTGTTTTTAGTATTAAATCGAGTAACACTTCAAATATTTCTGCACGTTATGTTAAAGTAGCGTTCCTTTCGAGTGGAGGTGTAAAGGCATCTTCGACATTGAACATTACTGATACTACTTTTAACGTAGATAAGATGTATCAATTGTGGAGTGGTGGATACCTTTTAGTTATTCGTTTGAAAACTAATAACACTTTCATCGGTTATGTTTATGATACCCAAGGAAATTTCAATAAAACTTGGGATTCACCTACATTACCCGGGAATCTTGTGATACCGAATGGTGTGCTTCAAAACAATACTGTTTGGATGTTTTTTGATGTAAATTCTACAGTATCAAATGAAAGCCATTGGAATTTAACGACAACTATTGTCAGAAAATTTGTTGCTCTTGGTATTTAACACTTTTTTTTTTTTCTTTTTCTTTTTTAAAAAAAAAAGAATTTCATGTATTCTAATTTCAGGAAACTTTTATAGATCATGTTTCTGACAATTTAAATATCAACATAACGTTCCCAAATATAACTGACATTTTTTCAACAAGAAACCCGGAGATCAATATGACATTTTATAATCCAATTGCATTATCAGTAGGAAATATTTCTATATACCAAGATAGTGGCACAGATTTGATACCGAGATTATATTATAATGCACAGAATAACAGTGACAAATTTAGAATTTCACCAGATTTAAAGACGATTTCGATAACAGTTTTGAATAGTACATTTGCTTCTCCAGGAAGCCGATACTACGTTGTTATGGATAATAATTTTGTTAAAGATTCGCTGTATAGCGAACCTTTGACAGGTGCTAATTGGAGTTTTACAACAGTTGGGAAATCCCCAGAAGACCTCGGAAGTAAGTTTATTGTCTATTTTTGAAATAAAATTTAATTATTGAACTTATAATAAATTTAATTCTTTATAATATTCTTTACAAAACCTAATAACAATTAATTTAGCTGCAGTATACGCGTTGACCCGCCTAAACATGAATGAGTCATCTTATTTCAATAACCTTTTGAAGACCGAAAAAATAGCTTATCTCTATAATTTAAGTATTGAACTTTCATATTCAGTTCCAACAGATCCCTCAAACATAAAAGCGGATGATCATTTTCAATGGGACAAAAATGCTGCTTTACAGATTTTATTAAAATTTCGAATACTACCAGGGAATAATAGTGTGAAAAATCTCCCCGTATCTAAAGTTATTGAAACATTAAACGATTTGATAATTAACAGAGATGTTACATTGGTATCTGGATTACCAATAAGTAGTAAGTTGGATAATCAATATGGATTTAAGCCTAAAAGTATGTTTTTTTTTTTGTTTTTTTTTTTTTTGAGATTACGAAGGTTTAAACACATTTATAACAGTGTAACTTGACGTATTGATGAATGAATTTTCTTAAACATTGCTAAAAAAATTTTTAGAGAACGTCTGGGATCTTTATGGGTATTTTTTAATTGTCATTGGAATCGTGCCCTTTTTTTTGGCCATTCTTTCACTATTTTCATATCGAGAACAAAGAAATGTAAGTCCAATGTTTGAACTCTAATCTTTGGGTTATGATAGAAATTATTTTTCTAGCACATTTATTGAAATTATCTACATGCGATTTTTTAGGGAAACAACTTTATACCATTCAGGATTATACTTATAATTTTAGATTTTACTATCGATTTGATGTTTGTGCTTATACATTCGAAGGATTTATACTTTTTATACCTTCCTAGGTATTATATTCATCTCTATATTTGTTTTTTTAGCATCTCATAAATTTATTACCAATCATTTTTTTGCTATGCTTCTCATTTTTTTTAAAAACAAAAGTTTGTGTTTTATAATAGTACCATTGGGATTCAACATAATCACATCATTTTTCCTATTAATCCATGAACTCTCACAGCAGGATACTTCGTTCTATGAGTGGTTTAGAAAATATCACAATGTAGCAGCTTTATCCATTCTTTGCTCCGGGATAGATATTGACATATTGACGCTAATAAATTCAAAATTAGGGAATAGTCCATTTTTTAGTGCACCATTATCTAATTCAAGTAAAAATTGGATACTCCGTGCTAGCTGTATTAATTTATTTATTGAAGATGGACCTCAGTTAGTTGTCCAGGTTAAAAATAATTATTATTATGATTCTTATGGTATTATTTGATTAATCTTCAGTATGACTTATCTTTTTTTACTTTTGACATTTTTTAATAGATATGCTATCTGATATATTCTGTCAACTATGATATAATACCTTTCATGAACCTATTGACTTCCTCGTTACTTTTCTGTTGTATAATTATTGGTAGAATATGCAGACTTTTAAGACGCAAAGAAACACCTAATTATTCCGCCACCGTCAGCAGATCATACTTTGACCATGATGATGCATCATCGAAGTATAGCAGCGAATACATTGAGGATATACCATCGTCACCCACTATTGTTCCTGAGACAAGGATAAAGCCGCCAGGTCATGTGTGGATGGGATTTGGAAATTATGGCATCCCGAGAACTCATTCTCAAAGAGTTAATTATCCGTTACCGCCGCTGGGCAGGCGTAATAAAGTTAACGCTATGTCTGTTGAAAAACCGCGAGTTTCTATGGATAATATGGAGAGTATGCCTGGATTCACAGCAACGCATATCAATGATGGAGAAAGAAACGGTGAAGAGATAGAGGAAGAAGATGATATCCCTGATGGAAGATATAAACATTATGATCATGTACGTTATGGGCAATTTGGTTATAAAGCGGTGAACAGTAATGACGAAGATAAAGTTAA